ATTTTGTCAAGAATTCCCTTCTCTTCCTCCAAGCCTTGCTTGCCCATCTACGACATCCATCTATGGACCGTGAATGAACCTAGGGTCCGTGGATCACCTCCGTAAATGCCCTTTTCTGCACATCCTTCAGGTGTGTCTCTCAGTTTCCACATCTGAACTTATTTCCTACAAACATGATAAAAATACATAAAAACCAATACAAGATGGCCCTAGACACACACAACTCTTAAGTGAAATGTATTAAAAATATCGTAAACTCACGGTATATCAACAGTAAAGAGTCCCCTTAAGTTAAGAGAAACTATGCAGAGGTTCAGTAATCTAAGGAAAGGAGATAGTGATGGGACATATTATGTTATTGGAATCAGGCACTCCATCAGTTATAAGTGATGAGTTACTTTATGAGTAGGAAATTGGATTAATAAGGTTGTAGAGAGTTCTTGATAGAAGGAACAAGAATAGTTACTAGTCAAGATAAGTTAGAGCCTATTATCAACCAGAATAGAGTTGATGTGGATGTGTCATCATGTTAGAAGAGACTAAGTATATGTGTTGAATCAGATAGAAGAGTATTCATGAGGTGGTAGACCCAAGCTAGGTTTATAACCTTTGAAGAGGGGAAACCCCATATTATTCAGAGGATGATGGAACTATTTGAGAGATAATGCGCAGTAAGTGAGTAAATAGCAATTAAGTTATGAAGTGAAATGTGTTAGTAAATTGTAAGTATAAAGACTGAGAGGTAAGGATTGACTACTTGTCATAAGGACCTAGTAGATGAGTATTTCTATATTTGTGCATAGTAGTGATAAGTTAGTGTAGTAGGCGAGCAATCATGTTGATATTCGGGTTTAGTAATAAACATTAAGCTTGAATTTGAGATGAGTGTCATAACAAAAATAATGGAAGCATGAGAGTGATGATGTTAGTCTTGAGATTTGATCTAGAAGACTTGACATAAAGTAGGCGAGGAATTGAGGTGATTAGCTGCAATAGATATGAGTGGTACAAGTGAGAAACCCTAACATTTAGATAAAGGCAGTAAAGTGTTGCTAAGTCACAAGAGTAACGTAAGCATTAAGAGGTGTACTGAGAGGGTATGTAATCAAAAGTGGTTGAGAGAAACACCTTAGAAAGAGATCTTAGTACCTACTTACGGAGAGTTCGGTAGTCATGAGATAAACTTCTCCCGAGTGTTAGAATAAAAAAGGATATAGAGAAGTTTAGAGATGATGGAATAGGTCCATAGCTTTCAAGTGTCAGCTTTAGACCTAAGGGGCAGATGATAATATGAGAAATCAAGATGAGTGTTCAAGAATAGGATAGTAGTGAGTTCCAAAGAGTTTGGGAGATATTTTTTCGAAGGTCCTTGTAGTAATGGAGTGATGTTAGAAAGAAAAGGTCAATGATCTTATCGTGATAGTGATGGTGTATTTATTCCATCTAAAGTTATACATGTGAAGGAAAAGGAGGATGAGGTTTTGATATGAGAAATAACTAAATGAGATCCCTTAGTTGGGTCCTTAGTTGGTTCCGAATAATAAAGCAGCCAATTCTAGTTGGTGTGGCAGAGATGATAAGAGTTACTCCATCCCATACCTAGTCCAGCCGTCATTCAAGGATGAATGATCCCAAGGGGGAGATATTGTAACACCCCAAAAAAAAATTGAACTAAGTCTCGTACTATCCTTCGTTGTTAGTAGGATTTTACCGAGAAATTTAACATTTCTTGAGTATTAAGGTCACTAGATGTAGCACCTCAAGTTCCAAAAATAATTTAAGAGAATTCATTCAAGTCCTTCCTAAGTTCTTCTAAGCTTTAGGTCAAATTCAAACGGCCATAACTTTTAGCACATGATGAGTTAGGTGGCCTATAAGATATCAAATGAAAGGTATTTGAATTATCTTTCTAACGCCACAAAGTTTGCCAAGCTTCGATGTGGAATCAGTGAGATATTCCCTTTTAAAGTCAGGCTGTCCAATTAAGAAAACTTACCCGAAAATAGTGAGGGGTATTTTGGTCTTTTCCTTATGCAATCAAATTTAATTCATTTTAGTAAGGTTTTAGGGGTCTAATCTGATTCGGTCCAGTTATATAATCCTAATATATGCCTAGGGTTTTAGTTGAGAATTCAAGAAGATAAAAGAAGAGAAAAGACGAGAAAAGAGGAGAGGATCAAAACATTCGTCAAGATTCTTGAGTTTTGTTGCGGATTTTCACTATGGGTTTAATCCCTAAGAGGTATTTAAGTTTCCATAGTGTTAGGTTTAATCACCCACATGCCAAACATGATTTTCATATTCGAATTCATCCGTAAAGATTGAAAGATTTAAGTCATTGATAAGTGTTCTTGACGTTCATTTTAAATCTTGTTTTGTTGGCGTTTTGATGAATTCTTGAGATGAAAGTTAATGATTTGAATGTTGTTTTGAGTAGATTAGTGTGCACTTAGGTGGGCTAATTAAATCTAAGGAAAATTTGATAAAAATAAATGGATTAGAAGAAATTAAGGATAAAAAAATGAGAAATGAAATTCCTCAAAAAATTTCTTGGGGAGGGGCTAGGGCGGCGCACCCCAGTAGTGCGCCAATAAGCAGCCTCTAAAGTTAAGGGGTTGGCGCCCCACGCCAGGAATGCGCTAGGGTCGCCTACCCCCACTCCTTTTCTGTCGGTTGTTCAGTTTGAGTCCCTTTTAAGTGTACCTTTACTCCCTTTTGATTCTAACTACTCTAAACTACTTCTAACAACCTAGAAATCATTCATCACATTAATCATAACCTTGAATTAATAATTCAAATTCAAGGTAGAGTTAATAGTTAAGTCTTGAGAGTTCTTTCGAACATTTTGAAAAAGTCCCTTTGATTCTCTTTGAGGAGTCTTCAACAATTTATAATAACTCATTTCAAGACTCAAGCATGTGAGTATGAGAATGAGGAGATTGTATTCATGAGTCTACATTATCAACACGAGATCCTTCATATCATAAATAATAACTCTTGAATCCATAATTCAAATTCAAGAGAGAGTTAAGAGTAGAGTTCAAGAAAGTCTTTTGAGTTCAATTGTGAATCTTTTGAGATCAACTATCAATTTGAACTATGTTTTGAGGAAGTAAGTTTGAGAATGAGAAGAGTCAAATATGATGTGCCGCGAAATCTTGGCATATTTGATGCTCGAAAACTAAGGATTAATACTAGAATTGAGTATATTTATATAGATATGATGTGTTTGGTAATGTTTGTACATGTAAAACATGTGGACGTGAAAGTGGAAAGAAAAGAATAAAATGCAGAGTGAAAATGAAACTGGATCAAGTAAAGACCACGGAAGACCTCACGAGCCGTGGTCTTCACTACGGTCCGTGAAAGCGATCGTGGTGCCTTTCCAGTGAGCAGGCTTTGAGAAGGCAACTTGTGGAAATGCCAAGTAAGGACCACGGGAGACCTAACGGAACGTAATACTTTTGGCGGGTCGTGACGCGGTTCGTAAAGTTGAAATAGTGAAGAGACCTTGAGAAGCTGAGGAGTGAATTGGCCAAGTGAAGACCAAGGGCACCTATACGGACCGTGGTCAGTGCCACGACCCGTGGTGACATCAGTGATAGGATTACAGTGTGCAAACCTTGAAGAACTCAGTTTTGAGAGTTGAAGTACAGATCACGGAGGGCTTAATGGACCGTGAAGCCCTTGACGAATTGTCAAAATGTTCATGAAGTGCCCTACAGTTCAGTCCTATTTCGAGTAGGACTCTTTTTAAAACAATTTATTTGAATTAATTAGGTCATTTTTAGTATTTTTATCTCGTCTTATCTGGAACGAAGAACGTAGTTTCAAATATTCTTAGCTTTGGTTTTTGACGATTAACATAGAATCAAGTTCCAAAGTTGGATTTTTGGTTTTGAATTATCATTCGTTCAGTGAATTTGCAGAATTTGGTAATATATTTTCTTAATGTTTTCTTTACTAATTTTTGTATGTTTACGTGAAATCATGAGTGGCTAAATACCACAACTGGGATTGTGGGATCTATGACATAAATCTAAGTATAATTTTGTAAAACGAGTGAAAGTCGATTTATATTTGCAAATTATAATTTATCTTGCATTATTCATATATTCTAATGAGTGCACGCATTAGAGTTAGAATGTATCTGTCATTTGTTCGAGACAAAAATGATAGTTGGGAAAAAGCTAAATTAACCTGAAGAAATGGAGTCAAAGTTCGAGTTCGAGAGAAAAGAACTTTAGCACTATCGTAAGAGAGGATAAAACTTGTTGACACTCGAGGACCGAGAGGGCTATAGGGAAATCTATCTAATTAGACTGAGAAGTGTTAACGCATCTTAGGAGTACTTGTCCTAAGTGAGCCAAGCACTCTTCAAATGTATCCCCTATGACTGAGAAGTCATCCATGAACACCTCCATAGAGTCATCGACCATATCTGCAAAAATAGACAACATGCAACGCTGTAATGTTGTTGGGGCATTACATAGCCGGAATGGCATCCTTTTGAATGCGAATATTCCATAAGGGAAAGTAAAAGTGGTTTTCTCTTGATCTTCCGGTGCAATAAATATTTGGTTGTAGCCGGAATACCCATCCAAAAAACAATACCACCCTATTTTTGATAATCGGTCAAGCATCTGATCCATAAAGGGCATTGGTAAATGGTCTTTCTCAGTCTATGAGTTAAGCTTTCGGTAGTCCATACATACTATCCACCCAGTCACTGGTCTTGTTGCCACAAGTCCTCCTTTTGTATTTGGAACTATGGTTATACTTCCCTTTTTCAGTACACATTGCACCGGACTTACCCACTTACTGTCTGCAATAGGGTAGATCACTCCCGCATCTTGCCACTTGCTGATCTCCTTTTTTACCACTTCTTGCATTGGAGGGTTTAATCTCCGTTGAAGTTCTACACTAGGTTTGCATTCACTGTCGAGCCAAATCTTGTAAGTACAGATGCCGGGAGGAATTCCTACTATATCGGCTATTGTTCATCCAATAGCTTTTATATGCTTCCGCGGTACTTCAATGAGCAATTTCACCTGCCTTTCAAGCAGATTGGCGGCGATAATTACTGGTAAAGTATTATTGGCTCCTAAGAAGGCATATTTAAGGTGAGAGGGTAGGGCTTTTAACTCCATATTTGGTGGTTCTTCTGTTGATGGCTTTGCAGGGGGACTTTCTTTGTTTTTCAGGTCGATATCCAACTTGATTAGATTCCTTAAATATGCTCTTAATCCTGATAAAGCAGCTACCACTTGCTCGTAACCCTAAACTTCGTATTCCTCATAATTGGCAAGTACAGATTTAGTGGGTTCATATTTGTGCATTAAATGACTTACACTTGCCACTGCCTCATCTATCACATCCTCAGTAGACACCACGTGGATATTACTTGGTTGCTTTATGGATTTATAGATATTGAAGGTCACTTCGCTATCGTTCACACGAAACTTCAATTTCCCGCTTTCAACATCCACAAATGCTCTCCTGGTAGCTATGAATGGCCTACCCAAAATAATGGGAATTTCAGCATCGATCTCACAATCTAGAATCACAAAATCAGCTAGAAAGATGAACTGATCCACTTTCACCAATATGTCATAGAGTATCCCGACTAGGTGCTTGATTAATCGATCAACCATAAGGAGCTTCTTTGTGGTTCCCTTTGGTTCACCCTAACAAAGTTGCTTGTATATTGCATAGTACATCAAGTTGATGCTTGCTCCGAAATCGCATAAGGCTTTAGCGAATTGGAGCATGCCAATTGTGCACAGGATTGTGAATGCCCCACGATCTTCTCTCTTAGGGATTGAATCACTTGTCATAATTGCACTGCAACTATGGGGCAGCTCAATTGTTTCATAGTCCAAGCTCCTTTTCTTTGTAACCAATTTGTTCATGAATTTGGCATATCCCGACATTTCCAACAATGTTTCTACCAGAAGGAGCTTAATCGATAAGCTCTTGAATACTGACAATTTTTTTTGAACTTCTCATCTTCATTCTTCTTTTTCAAACGTTGGGGAAATGGTGGAGGAATCTTGGGTAAAGGGTGTACGACCTTTGGAACTTGAACTTGTTAATCTTCTTCCTCCTGTGGTTCTTTAGTGAGGTTTCGTAGAGTAGGTAAAACTTGTTCCTCCACACCTTGGCCGTCTTCATGCTTTTTAGGATCCTCATCCTCCAAGACATTCCCTATTGCCACATTACCGCAACGGGTAACTACAGCCAGCTCTCTTTCACTATAGTCCTTCAGTGTTTTGGACGTTAATTGAGCTAATAATAGACTCAATTTACCTTCAAGCATTTTGATGGCATCAGCATGAGAATCCACTTTACAGTTCAATGATGAAAAGTCATATTTCATCCCTTTTAGCAAATCATCAGAGCCCTCAACTTTATCGAGTATACGCGATAACAAATCATTTACCCTAAGACTACTTGCACTCCCTTTAGATTTCGGGCTCTCACTCAAATAAGTATGGTCTTCTTCTTGATCATCCCGCTCAGCCCCATCTTGCCAACATCTCCTTGTTTCTTCACCACTATAATAATTCCAACCTTGATTTCCATCCCACACTTGATAGTGTGGGTGGAAACCCTCCTCATATCTTCTGGAGTTCCAACCTTGATTTTCCCCCCAGTCATGAGTAACCGGAAGAAGAACCCTTCTCAACTCGAAATACTCCACGTGTCCCGTTCATAGGTTCTTGTAGGATTTCCATTTGAGATAACATCTTCTTGATGTTTTCGTCCCTCTCTCTTTCTTTTTCAATATGTTCTTGCGTTAACCGGAAACATAGTGGGGAAACTTAATCATCTTTGGTATACCATGCCTCGTTTACTTTAGTCATACCATCTAGGAGAAATGAGGCCACTTCAAATGATTGTAACATTATACCTCCTTGCGCCAATCCATCAGCTATCCCTTTATTATCTGAGTTCAGACTGCAGTTAAAGTATTAGAGTAGCAATTCACCAGACAGCCATGCGTTGGGCACTTACGCAAACATCTCTTCAACCTCATCCATGACTCTTGAATTGGTTCACCCTTATTTTGCTTGAAATTGTGAATATCGTCTCTCAGTTTCATCATTCTTGATGGAGGAAAGAATCTTTCGTCAAATGCCATAACCAGCTCTTCCCTTGATTTAACGGAATTGTTGGGATGCTCAACCAACCATTTAGTAGATCCCCCTGTCAATGATAATGGGAATAAGTGAAACCGTATGGATCCTTGAGATAGGTTCTTGAATGATAAAGGGGTGCACACTTCCACAAATATTTGTACATATTTGTGCGGATCTTCATGCTCTAACCCTCCAAATAAACCTCTTGAGTGTATGAGTTGGAGTGTTGCGTTGGTAACTTCGAACATTACTTTTCTGTCAGCTTGTGGCATGCAATTTTCACCCATATCGCCCATATGGGCAGAGTTACAAACACTATTATCATCGTCAATGTCATCTTGATGAAAAAACACCACCTCTTGAGTGGCCCGCTTGGAAACTATTCTCCCCATTTGTATTCATATGTCCTGTTGTGGCACACAAATACATAAAACAAAACTGAAAATTAGGTAAGTAGACTACAACTAAGAAGAACAAAAACTCTATTAATCCAAAAATTCTCAAATAACACCACTCCCCGGTAGCGGTGCCATTTTGATGTTTTCCTTAATCAATGACACAACTTCTAATTCAAGTGTCTACGATCGTGCAATAGTATAATAACCCAACCAAGGTTTGGGGTCGTCCCAAGGGAGTGGTTTTGAGAATTAATAGAAAAATAAAATTTAGCTCTAACTAGTTGTAGCTAAAGATATTAATGAACAAAAACATAGTAAATAAAAGGGGGTGACACGAAAGTGTCAAATATCAAATGGGGGTTTTGTCACAAGTAAGTAAAAACAACAAAAATTAACAAGAAAATCAAGTATGGGCGAAAGTTCTTGGGGTGTGACCGCAATACAAGTTGAGATAAATCTTTGGGTACATGCTTTCGATAGGAAATTTGAAATATAATAGTGAAAAGGCTAAGCTTTAAATGGAAATAAATTCCCTCTCAGATAACTTACCCCGTTTCAAATAGGTTCCTCTCGGACACCCAATTATCGTATGAAGGCCAGCCTACGCCTTACCCACTCACTCTCTCGAGCTGAGTGTTAGCATATGGGACTAGGGCTTAGGATATGGGACTAGGGCTCACCCTCTCTGGTTGAACCTCATCTCGACCCACTCCTTAGGCCATCAGTCTAGCGGTCTTGGTTTCGCGACCTCCATCTCGAGGAAGCCGGAAACACATGGGTGGTTTTGTATTTCTAACTACAAACCCATTAAATTAAACCACAATCACTAGGTGAAATCACCATTAAAATACATCTAACCTATCAGCAAGCAAGACCCAACAACAATATGAACACATATTTGCTACATCACACCCCAAGAATGGGTTTTTTTAGCCACACATCAGGAAATAACAAAATACACCTAACATGATAATGAAATCATCTAGGTATAAGAAATTAAACCTTGATTTAAGAAAAGGAAGAAGAATGGAGAAGACCCACATCCAACTTGGGGAAGATGAAATCCTTGTTTCTTTAAGTCTCCCCAAAATCCTATCCAAGCTTGAGAGAAAAATATTCCAAAAACATACTATTCTATTGTAAAATGATAATAATGGTTCCAGATCCTAAAACTTAATAAAGAGCTTAGTATTTATAGCCATCAGAAAATTAGTACTGGCGTATAGCTCGGAGAAGTTAGTCGAGTTCGCCGAATGACTCGGCGACTCGCCCTTCTTCTATCTCATCGCCGTTTCGTGCTTGCCTTCAGCATCTTCACGTTCTGGACCATTTGGAGATATAATACTACTTCGCGGAACTTTTCAACGAATTGCCCACTACTCCTTTCATCACCTTTTTATCCTCT